GTAGCTGCTGTTTCTTCTTGAAAAATGCTTTAAATTAATAATTTATTAGCATATAATAATAATACGGATCCCTTTTTGTTGGTTCACTAATAGTTTCATCTTTAGTGGTTTTAGACCAGGCGTCGTATCACAAAATAAAACATTTAGTTTTCACATTATAAAACCACAGTGGTCAGTAAGTCAGTGAGCATCGATGCTGAACCTTACAGACTTCTTTCTCTTTTGGGGAGATCAACGTGTAAAAACGTCTCATCCACAGAATTAAAAATGGATCATGAGTGGGATCCTTTAGCCTCCGGCTGAGCCTTTCACACAGGGATCAGATCACTGTGAGCAGTCTGCTCCTCACAATGACTTTTTTCCCGTTCTTAAATCTTAAGGCCTATTCAAGCTAACCTCAGTGTAAATCACGTGAAATGGCTCCATGCTATATAATCAACCCTATTTAATTCTATCTATTAACTGATCCTGTGCAAGCCCAGATATGTTTCTGCTTCGCCGTACAAACCTCTGGAACATAAAGAGGTAAAAACATGTTGTAAACTCCTGAGCAGCATCCTCCTGAGAAGGCCGACTGAGACAAACACGGCGGTGAAACTAAACAGTTGCGCGACGTTGCATCAGGTAAGCACTCATTATTCCTGGTGGGGCCACACGGAAAACAAACAGTGTTAATTAAATCCCCTCTGCTTGTTAGGACTTGAGTACATTAGTGCCACGCTCAGTAGTACATTGCTAATGCAGTCCCTAACATCTAGAGGGATGGACGAGGTTTTATGGTTGTGATATTATCCTCAGCGGAGCGCTTCGTCGTAAAACACCCTTTCAGTCCACTGCCTGCCCACCCACTCGTTCTTTACTTCATTTGCAGCGAGCTATTAGTGTTTTACACCAGAGGAACGTTCCAGGTAAAGATTATATGATGTGTTTTTTCATCCTAATTACCAGGCTTTTCCTGAGAGACACAAACTTCCTTTAACTAACTTGTCTTCTGAGTCTGTCGTAGCTGACCTCACTTTGGAAACGATCTTTTGTGCAGCATCTCACGTGTCTGTGTGACTCCCCTCAGGTTGTCCATGAGCCCAGAGGAGCACAGTGAGTTCTGGAGGAAGGTCCAGTTCACGGTGGACAAAGACGTGGTGAGAACGGACCGCAGCAACCACTTCTTCAGAGGAGAGAACAACCCCAATGTGGAGATCATGAGGTCCGACCACCTCTGTTCAATCTCTGTCGCTGCCTTCCACGTCACCGTCTCTGAATCCGTCCTTATCATCCCCACTGCTCTCCCCGACGCTCAGGCGTACCTATTCATTTCATATTCCGAACCCTGGGGGAGCCGCAAATGAGTTTCATGCTTTATTGACTCTGACTAAGCTGTCTGAGCACTTCTGATGCATACTCGGAGCTAATGGCTTTCTAAACGAGGAGCAAGAGGATTTAAATAGCATATTAGTTTAGTGGGTCTCATCGAGGCTCCTGGTATTTGTCTTGGTATTATGTCTCATATTGTGTCTGAGGTGGAGCGATAGCAGCCGTCCGTGCTTCCACACTTATCTCACATCTAGCACTGGTGCTTATTGATCTGATGGATTTATTTCAGACACGCCGCAGCGTCGTAAATGCTAAAACCAGAGAAAAATACAACAAACTACTAAAATAATGTCTGAAAATGGGAAGTTAGACGTGTCCGTACAGCTCATGTCTTACTGCTTCCTGTTTGCATCAAACCTTTTCTTTAGAAACCCCAAGAACACCTTCACTGTTCCACATTATCATAGTCTTCAACAGTCTTTTTTTGTATGTCTCTGTAAATTGTTTTATAGTTGGACTCATTCTGAGATCATCTAGTTTAACCCACAAACTGATAAACTTCTGCTCTTCACGGTGGAACGAGCAAATGGCTTTTTAAAATTTAAATTCCCTCTTAATTCATAGTTTAAAATATTACTTCCACAGTGTTTGTTTCAGAAAATATGCTCATTACATCCCACATTATGTCCTCATAGCTTCTTTTCTGTAATACTTTCTCAAATTGTTTTGTATTTGTCCTCATTTTGAGATCCAGACTGCGTCACAAACTGAGAAACACTCCGTCTTCATGCTGCTACAAGCAAATGGCTTTTTAAAAATTAAACTTGCTCTTATTTTATAGCTTCTAAACATTATTTGCACAGTCCTGAAATGAACTGAATCACTTAATTCCATCGCTCATTGTCTTTAAAGCTTTATTTTACTCTATATAATGCAGTAGGTCAGTAATAAGATGTGTTACGGTGCTACAGAGACATCCTCAGAGCTGCCTCTACAAAAAATAAAATAAATAAAATCCTCCTCTTGGTTCCACATGACAACAGATTTTTACTTTGATAATGTTGCATGCAGTGAAACAATAAAACGTCCTCGGGGCTTTTCTCTTTGTTTATACAACACTTACTAATGTATGAGGACTGCCAGGGAAGTTTTCTTCAAAGTACTAACCTTAAAAAAAAAATAAAAAAAGGGAAGAAGAAAAATCATTAATTAGCTCCCTGGTTACCAGAGGGGTTGGCATAGCAACCGCTAAAGGAGGGATTGTCATGTTTTTCTGGGCTCAAACACATGTTGGCTCATTCAGAGTGTTTGGGTGGGACCGTGGTTCTCCGTGGTTTGGCTGCATTAGAGACTATCAAAGGGATGTGAATGTGTATAAACCTATACTACCCACTTCTACACATCTATATATAACATGCATGTATATATAAGTGCTGTAATGTTTTCTGCCACGACACGCTAACATGTCCACGGTTTTCCTGCTCCAGGCGAGTTCTGCTCAACTATGCAGTGTTTAATCCCGACATGGGCTACTGCCAGGGCATGTCTGACCTGGTGGCCCCCCTGCTCACTGAGATCCAGGATGAAAGCGACACCTTCTGGTGCTTCGTCGGCCTCATGGAGAACACCATCTTCATCAGCTCCCCGCGGGACGAAGACATGGAGAGGCAGCTGGTAGGAAGTTTCTCTTTTGAGTTTAGCAAATGTCTGAAATTCCGCCTCTGCAGAAACGCTCTCCGACGCTGCAGCCGTGGGGCTTCAGTGTCCGGCGCTTTCTGTAAATTTCAGAATCTGACCTGAGTGTCAAGCAGCCTCACTGGTTCATGCATACATTTCAGCCTCTATTACTGCCACAAGTGATCTTCCAGCAGAGCAGCGGAAAATAAATTCCTCTACAAGGAACTCAGTGTTGTTTCTCATCTTGTAATTAACCTTAAAGAATCCCTTCGTGTTTGTCTCAGTGGTTTGTTTAGATTTCCTGATTTCTTCTGCTTTTCCAGTGCATTGCGACTCGCTAAACATAACGCTGCCTCGCCAATCAGTGTACGCTCTAATCCCTACCAGTATGAAGGAAACACATGCGAAACACATGTCTGCATGTGTACAAGCAGCTTGGAAGTACAGAAACAGCGCTAGACAAAGGCTCGGACTGTTCTTCTAAGACGCTCTGTGCTCCGGCTGTAGATGTACCTGCGGGAGCTGCTGCGCCTCATGCTGCCTCGCTTCCACCAGCACCTGACCAGGCTGGGGGAGGACGGCCTGCAGCTGCTCTTCTGCCACCGCTGGATCCTGCTCTGCTTCAAGAGGGAGTTCCCCGACACCGAGGCCCTGCGCATGTGGGAGGCCTGCTGGGCGCACTATCAGGTCAGCGCTCCTCAGCATGAACAGGACGCAGAGAAAAACCCAGAGCACAAAGATGCTAATTAGTTCCAATGCAGGTTCAGGGTTTGGATGATTTCCTTGAGGAGGCGTGTAGACGTGAACGGGTCGGTGTTATTCCCTTAAAGCCCGTCACCACAGGCTACTGTAATCCTGCTAAATGCCAACAAAGTGTGTTCTTGGTCTTGAAGTCGTTTAAAGGTTTAATTCAAGAGTGATTCGATTAAAAGTCCCACATTTTTTACATTCCCGCAGATTTCATCTTTCTGAAGAGCTTATTAGCTTTTGAAGTATAAATTGTAAAGAAAAAGAAAACTGTATACGGATGAAGTAATTAGATGTACAACCTTGAGTCAGTGAACCCGGTGCTTGTGTTTCACCTCTTTTCTTTCATGAGGATGAAAACCTGTAACTGTCGAGTTTCCTGAAAAGATAAAGCTGAACGCCGCATGTCGCCGAGGCTGAGTGGAACATCGGCGTCTTCGCCTCACGCCATCTGTTCCCACTCGCTGCTGCTAGATGTTCTGATCTCCTTCTGCAGCTGGTGATGGAGAAGATAGGAAAGTGAAACCTTGGTTTAGTCAGTTGAGTTAAGACCTGGGTTAAGAGCAAGAGGTTCTGATTGATATCAGATTTTTCTGAGTAATATTCAGTAACAGCTGATTACTGTTGACTGAATCCTTTTGTCCTTTGATTTGCTCTCTGATGACCTGCTGCAGTCGGCTGGTGGCAGCGTTTTGTTCACCAACACTGTGATGAATTGACTACTTTTATAGCAGACTGGCTGCATCTCCACCAGGGGCACTGATATGTCATCAAGACATGGAGATGCCTGCAGATCAACATCTAAACGGGTATATATATTTTAAAAAAGGTAAAAAACAACATTAAACCTGGATCGTCCAGGTTTTCCATGACTTTTAAGTTTCTTTTTGGAATGAAGCCTCTAATTAAGCGCTGTACCCTCCTAACGATGTTTGTGTTCTGCTGCGACCTTCACGTTGTTTCCTGCAGCAGGAGCTGAACGCAGAGAGCTGAAGTCATACCGACATTTACTTTCACCATCATATCACATGACAGACCACAGATGCTGATGATTTGCAGAGTTTCCTTCGTTTTTCACGTCTTCGCTGATGTCCTCCTGCAGACGGACTACTTCCACCTGTTCCTGTGTGTGGCCATCATCGTCCTGTACGGGGAGGATGTGACAGAGCAGCAGCTGGCTACCGACCAAATGTTGCTCCACTTCAGCAACCTCTCCATGCACATGAACGGAGAGCTGGTGCTGCGCAAGGTACACCAGCAACCGCTCGGGGTTTTCATGCCTTTATGCCACATGTCTGCATTAAAGCAGTGCAATAATCTGCAGCTTCTGATCACACTCATGAGAGTTTTTCAACAAGCTGCTGCATCGCTACGCGTTTAATCCGAACCCAGCGTTGCGTTCAGGGGCCTCGCCCAGCGCTGCAGCACAGCCGCTGATACACAGTAAATGGCCCACAGAGGCCTTGAGGTAGTAAAGGCGATGCTGCCGTGCCATGTAGAGGATTTATGATCTGCATCCCTGCTATTGTGTCTGTGCCTCCGTCCTCATGTTTATGGATGCTGTGTTGGTGCTGCTGCAACCACAGGCAGCGAGTTCGTGTTAGCATGCAGCTGGTGTAACTCCTTTTGTTGTTGCCCGAGATTTTGCATCTGATATTCTAAGAGCAGGCACGCCGGCTTTTTAGCTTTAGGTAACGGCGCGCAGTGCTGACCTTGACAGTCTTCTGTTATCTTTCAGCCAAGAGTCAAGGCTATTGATTTATTTCCATGTTTTAATCTGCACTGCTTGATATCAGCCAGTATTTGTTTTGCATGTAGTGACTATGTGTCGTGTCAGTCTGTGCTTCGGCTCATCTCTGGTCCTGCTCTTCCAGGCGCGCAGCCTCCTCTACCAGTTCCGCCTCCTGCCCAGGATCCCCTGCAGCCTGCACGACCTTTGTAAACTGTGTGGCCCGGGGATGTGGGACAGCCGCTACATCCCCACTGTGGAGTGTTCAGGTGAGCACCCGGACTCCCAGAGCTGCCCCTATGGAGGCACCTCCACCCCCCAGCCCTCCTCACCCTCCCCGTCCTCCACGCCCTCGCCCTCACCAAACCTCACCCCCACGCCTCCCCCGGAGGGCAAGAGAGGCTCCAAAGCCCGGGACATTTTCACCTTCCGGAAGCAGTCCTGAGGTGCAGGTTGAGGGCAGCTTCTGCTCGTCTGGGCTCACGTACCTGCTTCTAGTTTCACCGTCTCGACGAGGATTTCTGTCACCTGATCTCTTCACGTGGTGCAATGTGGAACACTGCCTTAGCAGAATGTTGTTTTCAGCATTCGGTATCACATGAATCTGCGATGAGGACGGTTTGCTGCCGGACAGACCAGAGGTCAAGAAGCTGCTTTCCTCTCGGAGCAGAGCGGACAATCACCAGACACAGAGTTGGTCTGGAGCTACTTCAGGTTCTAATCTGCTGCTAGCTTGGCATTCTTCCACGGGCTTTGTGGGCAGGGGTCACATCAGGGTCTGAGGCAACTGGGTTGAATTCTCGCAGACTGTGACCCAGGGTCAAAAGAAACTGGAGCTTCGTTCACAGGACTTGAACTTGAACTCTTAAAAGTGTTCCTGTGTTCTCACAATGGAATATTTGTGTGAATATCAAATCATGTGTGCACATCTCAAGTCTGAGCAGGACACGCTCAACACGAAACCCGGTAACACACAAGGAGGAATCGCAATGAGTTTCAGTTTTGTTTAATTTCATATTTCAACAAGTGAATGTTTGCTTTTATATCAGCAGTTACAAATATTTAGCAATATTATATCCTTGCATGAGCAGTTCTGTACGTATAGAGGGCACAACGTATTTGTTGTTGGCAAACACTGGAGCCCAAAACACAGATAAGAATGTGTTTACATGACAAACGCTGGCATCACGATAGGGCTTCTCATATTTCCCTCATCAGCGAGGGAGCATCCTCATGAGCAGGACGACGATGACGGCGCGTTTCCTTCTGACACGTTACCTGGTGAGCAATAGGAGTTCAACCATTCACACGTCCTAAAACATGACATGACTTTTCCGTTGGTGAGTTATGGGATGGATGTGACAGCGGCGTCGCCAAAGACAGGCTCGCGGGTTTTAACGGAAAAATGGACGACTTTTTGTGTTCGACTTGAAACTCCATCCTCACGTGTTCAGACAGGCTCGTGAAACATCGTCAGCACAGTTTTAGGTCTTTATTTTTTTCCACTTTCACCTCTAAAATGAATGACACCCTCAACTGAGAATCAGTCCACATGAATGTATTCGTTCTTGTCACTCTACAACGCCGTGTGTGTGTGTGTGTGTGTGTGTGTGTGTGTGAACACTGGAGTGACCTCTAAACATCTGGCGAGGCCCTCTGACCGTTCTCTTTAATTACAGCGGCCATCTTGCAGAGAAGGAAGAAAGACGAGTTTGTGTTTGAGCTGCTCGCTGGGATCCGACCTCACATGCTGGAAACTTTTCCCCTCCGAGAGGTTTGAGTGACACTTGTGGGGGTGAAAACATCTTTAAGTTGCTATTAAAATCTAACATTAAGGCCTTCAATCAGCCTCTGTGCACCCCCCTCCCCACAAGGCGCTCTCGCTCCGTCTCAGCGAGCAGTCTCTGCAAATGACATCCATAACTGCTCTTCCCCATTAGTTATCATGTGCAGCTGTTTGCTGGAAATGCCTGCAGAGTTCAGGAGACGGGGGGCTGCGTCGAAATGAGCTCAGTCAGGAATACACGATGGGAAAATAATCAAACCGTGTGTGTGTGTGTGTGTGTGTGTGTGAGATCTCATGAATTTTATTAACATTGAAATCACATTGTTTACACAGACACTACAAGTCACAAGCTTGATTAATGACTGCTCCTATTTAAAGGGGTCGTGACTCACGAATGTACAGTGTTGCTGTTAAACTCTACGATATGTCGATGTATTACTGTACACATCACGGAAAAAAAGAGCTTATTCTTATTATTGGTATCAATAAAAACAACAGCAGTAATAAAATACAGTCATGCTTCCAGAAAATGTTTCCTCACCACCAAACCGCACCGGATCGTTCATTAATGTCGCTCTGAGAATGATTGACCACCAAGTAAAACACAATGCAGCCGTACTATTCATCATCTACCACCGCTGAGTCTTTGTGTTTTCTTATTAAAGACATTCAGGTATTAGGGTGAGTACAGAGAGAAGATTATAAAATCAAACTTTGCACATTATCATAAATCACAAAAGGACTCAGACATTGTAATATATTATTGTCATATATGACCCAAAGCCTTATTAAAACTCATCTGCAGTATCAAAGACATTTAGAAAACAAGAATACGTTGGTAATTACAACAGTTTAATGTGTTTAACAGGAATTCAGAGCATCAGACGAGATGATCTGATCGCTTCTTGGAGCTGCTCCAGCTTTTCTGATATGTTCCCGTTCAGTCAGATATGAACGCAGGACTTCAATCAGTGAGCAGCACAAGTGACCAACAAGGTGTAGAGGAATATATTTGTTCCTAATCTTACTTTAGTCACCGTCCAGGAAGATGTTTTGTCATTTGTCCTCCAGGGAGGAGACTGGCATGGCATGGAGAGACTTTTAGATATTAACAGTAATGCTAACAAAGCATGGGTGGACAACACAGGGATGCCTCTTGTATTATTTTACATATTTTCCTGCACTGTGAACCAGTTTTTCTAGACAGACCAACATCCTGAGACTGTTTTTTAGTGCAAGTTTAGCTGAAGGTATCTGAGGCATGAGGGGAGAAAAGCAGCGTTAGCACAAAGCTAACCGACTGACCTGCACTTGTACAGATGCAGTATTGCCAAAACATGACTGAATGTTTTCCCATCTTTCATGTTTGTACAAAAAAATGCAGTAACTTGCACATCTTCATTTGTGGATTTTATAAACTCACGGCACCAGTCTTCCAGCGCTCCCCTGTGCAGCTGCTCCCACTTCAAAAGCTGTTTTGTAGTGAACCTTCCTTTAACTCCACAAAGATGAAAAAGACTAATTCTGCCTCACGGGGGATTTTCATTCCATTTTATGTATTTTTTTTGACAAACACTATAAGGCCTCCCATGAGAAAATGCAGCCGAGGCAGACGTGTGTTTCCCAGAGTTTCACCTGAAGTGATCCAGTGAAGTCTTATCAGCCTCTGCTGTTTGTTGTGGCTGTGTGCTGGTTCAGCCGCTTGACAGCGACCAACTGACTGTCAGCTGTGGAGACGCTATCCGGCTCCGTCGTCAGGTGGCTGCTTCTTTGAAAATGGAAAGAACTAGCCGAGCTGACAGGCGTCTTTGAGGAATGACTCTGGTATTTGGGTCGTGTGGTTCCAGAGAAACAAACTTTTCACCGTTTTTCTCTCCCAGCAGTCATTAGAAATGCATTTGTGGCCACTTGCGCAGCATCCGGTGGCTTAGCAGGTTTATTTTCATCCCCAGTGACTCCTCCTGTTTTAACCCCTCGCTGTGTTAACCATGCTGATTAATGTACGACATGACCGGGGTGAGTGTAATAGGTTATAAAAGGAAAATGAGTTGGAGATTTTCCTTGACTTCCACCCTGAGACCGCCCCGGGACCTGGACCCGCCAGAAGCAGCTCTGTACTGTACGTGTGGTTACTGTGCTATCGGAGGCCCCGCTGCCTCTGATGTGGAGTCCTGCCTGTCTGCAATTACAACCCATTAGCTGCTGATTGATAGCTTCTCTCAGGGCTAATGCACTTCTATCACAGAAAACAAGATAAAGGGAAAATGACAATAAATACATAAATGAATAAAACGCCACTTCTCATTACTCACATCTTTGGCTTCTTTTGCGTCAGTGCAGTTCTTTAAACACAGAAAAAAAAACACAGCAGATGACGTCCAGCGAACACCATAAAGCCGCGTCCCTCTGCTGTAAACGCTGCAGCGCCAGTTGGAGGCATTTTGCTTATTTTGTACGCGGTGGTGAGATTAGAGAGTTTTTAGTGTGTCATTTTGATAGATAGCATCTGTGGTTAAACAGTAAGGTGTGTGTGTGTGTGTGTGTGTGTGTGTGTGTGAAGTGCTCGACCTGATGTCCCCGGTGTGTTGCTGCTTCAGTATCACAAGCACACTATCAGTCACCTACGCAAAGCACTTGAGCTGCTGCAGCCCTTTGTGCTGCGCTCACACACTCAACCTGCCCGTGTGTTCATGTGTTACTGCGTCCAAACTCTTTGTCCTCCTCCCACCAATAGCCCCCATTGTTGCACCGCCGCCCCCTCCTCTCGTCCTCCCTCCTCCAGCTCCCCCTGCCTCTGACTGAGTGACAGTGTGTGGGGCCTGGCTACTCTCCTGTCGCGAGGCCTGCATTGAACGCCGGGTTATTACCCCCTAATTATCAATTACAGGGCTCGGCTTCCACACCTGGAGCAGGCTGGGCTGGGAATGAGCTTAGCCCATTAGGATGGACCTCCGGCTGGGCTGTTTATAGAGGGGGCTGGGCTCTACCCTCTGGAGGTGTTAATGGGCCTTCTAGGGGTACGGGCTGATCCACCGGAGTGTCTGATAACAGAATGAGAGGGTCGATTCACGCTGCTGGGATTTTAGTGCTGCTGCAGGGATAGATAGAGTTTATTAGCTGTCGCCGTACACGCCGTTTTATATCCCCTGCACGTCCTGACATGAATTTTCCCGTTCATGAGACATTATTTAGCATCGCTTACACACTCATGTGACCCGATCTCAGTCTGCGTTGCACAATAAGGGGAAACTCCACCGATTTCATTTCCTGCAATCGTTTTCAAATCAATTATGTGAGATTACTTGCAACTGGACTGGAAGCTTGAATGGTTTGAGTGTTTACCGTGCAGGGAGGAGCTGAGCCGCATCATAGAAAACCACTGTTTATGGAGGCTGACCCATACTAGGGGCATTAAAGATGAGAAGTTCTACATTTATGATTTGTTGTGGTGAAGCACAAGACTCAAAACGTCACACAATCGCACTGAAGACCTAAAACAAGCAACAATAGTCAAGTAGAATGTGTGCAGGGATCCTGGTATCTGATGGATGAGATGTATGCATGTGTGGAGGAAACTGACAAGAAACCAAACTTAAATCGCTGCTGACCACGCTGTTCACTGAATCTGTGTGCTGCAAGTCCACCAACAGTTTGTACTTGTGCTACTACGTTGCTGGAATACTCGTCTAAGTATATATATATACAGTATATATATATATATATGGAGAGTTATATTACTGAGAACTCAAAACGGCAGAGCAGGTTTATAGACGGGAAACGAGAGGTCGTCACCTATTGAATGTACTCAGCAGGTATGAGAACCATTTCCCCCCGCAGCCAAGATTCGCAACGGCATTAAGAAAGAATCTGCTTCTTGGATTATACCTCGTTGCTCTGCTAAGGTGCTCATCCAGCTTTAATTTCAGACTTACATGCATTCACAAAAGGTGCAGCATTGAAAGAAAACTACGACAGTTTTTTTTTTCCGATACAAAATGTGACTCTTTATGCTGCATGTCATTTTTCTTGTAGCTACTTATATCTTTGTGCAAGAAATACTGATGGAGCATGACAGAAAACATGCACTGAGCAGCGCTTTCATGCCGCCGTACCATCTGTATCCTCCGCTCTCTGCTCTCTATTCAAGTACGAAGATGCACGAAAATAGATTTCTTTTCACCCCCGAATGCAAATAGATTGACTTGGCCTCTTATCATTACAATAGACGCTCTTGTCTGCGCTCTATTCAACTGTTAGTGGCGTTTAGGTGAAGGAGTCAGCTCATGGCAGCCGCACACTGCATCATACAGAAGATTGAAATGAAAATGAGGCATTTCTCAAAATAGCTGCAGGCAAACAGGCAGAGGGGGGAAGCTGGTAGTCGGAGGATTGAGGGTGACGGGGGTGAAGATATATGTTCTGACTCTGTGTGTGTTTTAGAGCTGGCTGGTTGTTTTGAGTCTCTGCCATATGTCACAGGTGTTATGATGGATGGGAGCGAGCGCTGCATTAACTCTGTGCAGGTGTGTGTTTGTGCTCATGCATGTGTATCATCGAGTGCACGTTCTCCTCCCGACGTTTGCATATTTTCACGGAGGCAGAACGAGGGAGGAAACGAGTGACTCACACTCAGCTTTGCATTTAATTTCTTTTTGTGAAAGATCAGTGAATTATAGAAGATGGAAAACAAGCTTTTTGCACCATAAACTCTGCTCAGGAGAGTTTTTAAAAATGTATTTTATGTACACGATGTCCGAACCCATTATGACTCAGAGACACATCAGTGAGTCACATGCTCCTTTATTGTGATCAGCGGAAACACTGCGGTTTGTCTGACTCACCGCTATATACACCCAAAACTCCTGATAACACTACATGTGCATTAATCCCCAGCTGAAAATAGTCCCCTAACCAACACCTTACTCACATTATTATTTATGCATCACATTTAAAACAGCAGCCATTGAGCCAAAGTAGAGAAATAAGATCACAACAGGTAATCTACTGAACAAGTCTAAAGATTAAGGCTAAAACCCTGCAGTCGTATACACAACACACTCATGAAAGTCAGTTTAATTAGATAGTTAGTTACTGACTAATTTAGATTATTAATTCGGGTTAAGACCTACAATTTTATATAAAATAAACATTTATGTGACTCAATTAAATCTTCAGGTTAACACCCTGTAATACGACATAACACAAGTCAACTACATGTATTATCTACTGTATATTTCTCTGTGATTAATTATGTTGGTAACAGTACAGAAAGTATGAATTTACTTAACACGTTTAAATAATAAGGCTTAGACTCTGCAGTATTATACCAAATACACATATTCACATTAAAACTCTACAATATTCTTAGTTGCATGAGTTTATCTGAATAATTTAGATTATTAATTAAGGTTAAGACCCAACAATTATTTTTATAAAATACATATTTGCCTGACTAAATTAAATATTGGTGTTAAAACTCTACAATAAATATTAAGGTTAAGAACTTGGAACAT